GGTGCCGCGGCGGCTGGGGGGCCATGGGCGAGCAGAGCACCCAGGTGAGCAGGGTGGGTGGATGGGATGGGGGGCGAGGGGCTCCTTGCCGAAGCCAGGGAGGGCTGGGGGCTGCGGCGTGCCCACCCGTGCCAGCAAGGCGTGGGTGAGTCTCGTGCTGGTGGTGGGAACAGACGGGTGCAGGGGTGCCCCGGGAGGGAGGGAAGCAGCTCCCCCAAGCTGGATCCTGGTCCCAGCACTTCTTTGTCATTGTTTCCAACCCCCTTTGAAGGGAAGGGGAAGGAAGGAAGGAAGGAAAGTCTTCTCAAATCATGTTTTCCCAGCTGCTGGGAGAACAACACCTAGAGCTGATACATCACGTTGTGGTGGGGGGATAAGAGGTTTTGTGATTTCTTTTCACTTTATAAACAGTAGAAGGGCTCCTCCAGCTTGTTTCCAGTTTGCTTACTCAGTGCTTCATGCATTTGACAGTTTTTGGTGCATAGGCAGTTTCTTCTATTGTTTGCAGGGATTTTTCCAGAGGGGAAACTTTTTTTTTTTTTTGACATTACAAAACCACAGAAACTGGCAGGAGGAATCTAGGGGAGGTGCTGAATTGGAAACAGTTTTAAGTTTTAAGGAGAAAAAAAAAAAAGGAAGAAAAAGAATGAAAGCAACAAGATTAACCAAATAATTTCAAGAGCAGCGGGGAACGTGTGTCCTTGTTGCTGTACGGGGAACGTGTGTCCTTGTTGCTGTATGGCTGGGCTGGGCGTGCGTGGAGGTTTCATGGTGGAAAGCAGCGTCTCCGGAGCCAGGGGCTCCTGAAGGTGGGTCTGTCCTGGGCTTCCTCCCTCCCTCCCTGTCCCGGCACCTCCGCCTCGGCGGTGTGGCAATGCCTCGCTGCTCTTGCGCCAGGATTTGGCCTCAGCGCTTGCCGGGAATGGGGTTGGCTAATAGCTTGACAGCAGGAGCGGTGCCCGTAGGACTTTGCGGGGGAGGACATGCCCGGTGCCCATCCCACCGCTCGCCGTGACGCGGGTCAGCTTCCCACCGGCCACTTCTGCGCCCAAACCACCGGTGCAAAGAGCCTGGATATTTTTCTTTCCTCGTTGATAAGCGGCAGTGCTGTAAGGCATTTCTTTCCGGGTATTCTTTCCCTTTCTCTTCCCAGCTGGCTGGCTGAGCTGTTTTCCCTGCTGTTGGACCTGCACGGCACGGGAAGCAGCTCCGAGCCGGAGAAGTGCCAGCACCGGGTAGTTTTTCCTCTCTTAATTAACAAAAGGAAAACATGGAGCTCTCCTTTGGAGTGGGTTTTCGCTTTGGAGCAGCAGCACGCTGCCGATGGCGAGGGGAAGCGCTGTCAGCGAGGACGTGCCCTGCAGCTTGGCGGTACCCAGGAGGTTGGTTGGCGCTCCCGGCGCGATGCCGTGCGGAGGCAGCTGAGTCTGGTGTTTGTGGCCAGGGTTTTACCTCCTCCTGAGGCCTCGTCTCAGTCCCGTTTGCACACAGTGTATATGACACCACGGGCTGCCATCAGGCATCGTGTTCCCCACGCTGCAGGGCTGATGTTCTGAGTGCAGGAGCTCGGACCTGTGCAGCCGCCTTTGGACTGGGACTGATGCGGTTTCCCCTGGTCCCTGACCATCGATGCCCTCGCAGAATCACAGAATGTTCAGGCTTGGAAGGGACCTCTGTGGGTCACCCAGTCCAACCCCCCTGCTGAAGCAGGGTCTCCTACAGCAGGCTGCACAGGACCGAATCCAGATGGGTCTTGAATACCTCCGGAGAAGGAGAATCGATAACCTCTCTGGGCAACCTGTGCAGCGCTTGTCCACGGTGAGCCGGTTTCCTCGGCGTCTGACGTGTTTCTCCGCTGTTTCTTTGCAGGCCAAACCCATTTATGGTGGCTGGCTGCTGCTGGCCCCGGAAGGAACGGACTTTGACAACCCCGTCCATCGCTCCCGGGTAAGCGAAGCGGAGACGCCCTCTCCCCGTGACGTGGGTGGGGGTGGCGGGGGGGGGGGCGAGGGGCCGTCCCCGCCCCCCGCACGGAAGAAGCTGCGGCCGCGGCAGTGCCACAGGCACCTCCGTGCACGCATCCCCTTCTGCAAACTGGGAAGATGGGAGGTGGTTCCTGGAGCGGGGCTGGACTGCCTTCTCTGGGATGCAAGGTCTGCTGTGCTGGGCAGCAGGCTGGGGTGCTACGGGTGCTGGCCAGGCTCGGTCCGTGCAGTTTTATTGCTTGCTGCTGTTGCTTTCTGATCCCTTGATGCTGCTCTGGTTGGGGTCTGGTTGGCCTGACACATGCCACGCTGATGGGAAGGCTCGTGGGCTGTGGGCTGTGCGGCTCTGAGCTGTGCTGGGACCATCAGCAAAGCACCCAGATTCCCTTTGGTGCTTGGAAACAAGTAGTTTATTTTCTGCAGCTCATCAGGGGCATGCCCAGAGTTCTGGAGGGAAGCTGCATCCCATCCCGTGGGTCAGGCAGGTCCTGCAGCGAGGAAGGGGCTGAGAAGCGATTCCCCCATTTTCCTGCCCTGAGGGGTGAGAGGCCCAGAAGGACGTGGCCAGGCTGATGCCCTTTCACCACCGGCTTGCGACGAGGACTCCCAGCCTGTCGCCAAGCTGCTTTTCCAGGGAGCTTGCTGCCGAGGCCGCCAGGACAGGGCTGTCTGGTGCGTGGGAGGGATGGCAATGGTCCGTGAACCCTCTGTCACGCAGCCAAAACGCTCTCAGAGCTGCTACTAGTGGGAAAAAAAAAAATCTCTAGAGTGAACAAGGACTGGGTTCCAAGTTCAGCCTGGGGTATACAGGTCATTATTTGGAGTCACAGCTCGTGGCAGGCTTGCTGGCCCGACATGGTGGGGACATGGGACTCTGGTCCCCCCTGGAGCGGAGGCTGCCTGCTAAGCTGGGGCGTGCGGAGGTCCACAGGGTCCTCGATAGATTTGCTTGTCCCTGAGCACCTTGGACTTTACCCGAAGGGCTAAGAAAAGTGAGATAAGAATTGCTGCACTGGGGCTATGAATCTAGGACCTTTTTTATTTCAGCCTGCTCCACCAGTTTTTGCTCTTGGCTGAAAACAACCTGGCACATAAAAAAAAAGAAAAAAAAAAGGCAGTTTTCCAGCCAGATCAGTTCTCCAATCTGGTTTGCTGTGTGGCTGCAGAAGCAGCAGTGCCAGCGTGGTGCCGGGGGAGGCAGGACCTCCTAGGCAGTGCCACCCCCGGGGTGCAGCCACTGTCCAAATCCACTGCTGGAGGATGTCTGCCATGACACCCTGTCACCCTGCAGCACCGGCTGCTGGAACGGACCACGCAGGATGATGCTGAGGGCTGAGAGTGCTTAGTTGGAGGATCCTTCTGGTGTCCTGCAGGGCTTGGGTCTCTTGGAGAGCAGTGATGGGGCTTGTGGGTGTCCCTCAGGAGAGGAGGAGGAGGGAAGTCCTGGTTCCAGCCTATAGCTGGAGTCTTTTGTCTCCTGTATAGCTAATCCAGTCCAGCCTGGGGTCTGTGTGGATCCAGAGAGGAGCAGGGTGGGGAAGCAACCCTGAAACAGCCTCTTCTGGGGTGCCCACGAAGCCGGGCGGTAAATGGGCATTGAGCGATGTGGCCGGTGCGAGCAGCCCTCTGGCAGGACCTTGCTTTGGAAAGCCCACGGCACCCCAGACAGCTCGGTTTGGGGCGAGAGGCTCAGCAGAAGTCCTTCTGCAGCATTCACCGCCCTTCAGGAATGGTTCCCGCGGTGCTGGGGGGTCCCCCCTGCTTTTTTGGCAGCTGCGGTCCAGTGCTTGGTGAGACCTGGACATGTGCCCTGTTGTCACCAGTCCCCTGCCACGAAGGGGTTCCAGGGCCTGTTGTCTGCCCCAGCTTTGTGGGGCACAGCTCCGGTGTCCCCGGCAAGGCCCGGGGGCTGGTGGGCGCTGGCATGACC